GCTGTGAGCTGTGATGCCACAGCATTCAACCCAGGGGGACAGCTGGAGGCTCTGTCTCAAAAAAAAAAAAAATGGCAGCAAAAAAGACAACCCAGTAATAACATGTTGAATCTGGGTGGTGGCAGTGTGGTTGTCCACTTTTCTTTATGCTTTTCAGGAACTTTTAAGTTTCTCAAAATTATAAAATGCAGGTATAGCCTTTTAATTTTCAATGACAGTGACCCAGGAACAATTTCTGTAATTTAGGCAATGCCTCTTTGGTTTAGTGGCAAGATAACCACATCCATCCTCTTTAGAAGTGAATCTATTATCTTGAACAAGGGGAAGAAAAGTACCATGCTATTGTAAGAACACATCCACAGGTATTTTGGTTATTTCTTTAATACTTGTGATAGAGTATTAAATATTATTAGAAGAAAAATACTTGAAGAACAACAAAAGGAGACTACTTTGTAGGGTACTTTCTGGAACACAGGCTAAGTCTCACTTGGGGAGGTAGTGTCCACTTCATGTAACCTCATATTCAGGTCAGAAAACAGAGAGGGATAATCACAATGTAACTCTTATTTTTATCAAATTCCATTCTGGACAAACTCAAGATATGAGAACTATTTCAACAGCATTCACTGAAGAGCAGAAGATTTAAGATGATGTTACCTTGACAAGTTCAGGTAGGTAGCTGTCTAAACCAGAACCAGAACCTTCCAATTTGCTTTGTTCGTCATCTAAAATGGCAAAACAGATTATCTGAGTCATGAAGTATTTTTTTTTTTGGCCAGGGCTGGGTTTGAACCCTCCACCTCCAGCATACAGGGCCAGCGCCCTACCCTTTTGAGCCACAGGCACCACCCAGTCATGAAGTATTTTCTTTAGAACAGGAGGAGGAAGGCCATTTTTCTTAGGTGCCCTTAAACAAAGTGGTTCTTAATTCTGGACATACACAGGAAACACCAGGGGTAGAAGTGAGGGGGTTGCTCTGAAAGAATCCTGATGCCCAAGCCCAGTGGTGAGCATCAAAATACTTAACAGCTGGTACAGCATGGACACTAAGAAGGACTGATATTAGCTATAAGTAACACCTCATGTGGACACACCCTTCAAAAGTCAAAATCTTTGGTGGAGCCAAGGAAATAGTATTTTTAAAATGCTCCCAGGCACTTCTAGGGGGCAGCCAGGGTAGGGGAACTACCTGAGGGCTTGAAGTATAACATGTATTACCAAAAATATACCCAGACTTTTCTCACTAATTTAATCTGAGGCTCTTGCTCATACTAACTTTGTCTTAAAAATTTCAAAGGATCTTATTAACAATAACAACCATTACCAATATTTTATAATACAGTGTGAATTCTATGTCAGGTACATGAAATAACATTTTCTTATTTTACTCTTCCCAACTGACCAGATAGTTTAGTTTTTATTCCCATTTTAGAAGTGAATAAATGGTGGCTCAGAAAACATGAGTTGTTTGCCCAAGTTGAAAAAACAGTATTTATGGCATTCAAACCCAGGTCCTCCTCTCTGCATCCAAAGCTGTGGCTTTTTCCATTACATGATTTCCACATAAAAAAAAATCAGTGAAATAAATTCCAACGTGACAAAACCTTTGCTGACAGGCTATCTGTAAAGAGCTCACATCTGCCCTACCTCTCATGTACTCGTGCAATCCAGTTGTCATTTCTAACCTGCCTGGCAACAACCAAGACCTCATCACCACCAGAGTGTGTGTGTACTTGGGGCAAGCTAACCCTACCCACCTTCATGAGAGTCTCCGTTTCGCCTTTCTTGCATTGCAGCTTCAAAGTTGAGCTGGAGAATCTTATTTAAAGTTGTGATCCATTCTTCCATTTCCACTTCACTATCTGCTGCCAGAAGATAACTACTTTTGTCCTGCATCTTCAGTTCAAAAGCAAAACGCCTGACTTTGTTATTCTGAAATGGAAAAAGGATAAAGAGAAACATTTTTTAAAAGTTGGAACTGCCTTAAAATAGTTTCTCTTTTTTGCTGATGGGGGCTATCTCCTTGGCCTTTTGGAACAAGCTATTTAAAACTGCAAGCCCCCTCCCTATAGACCCATTACTAATCACTATCCACCCTCCCTGCTTTGTTTGCTCCATAGCTTTATTTTTCCATCTCACTCATTGCCTACTTTACATATTCATTTTATTCATTGCCTGTCCCATCCAATGCAATGGAAGCTCTCAAGGGCAGAGATTTTCTTTTCTGTTGTTCAATGCTACGTCCTTAGTTTCTAGAACAATGTATGGCACAAAGTGGCAGAAACCTTTGGTGAATGAATGGAATTTCACATATAATTTTCATATTCCTTTAGCTGATTTCGTTAAAGCAAAGTAGTATGTGGTATTGTATATTTAAAAGTAAACCATTATCTATCAAAATGTTTGACGGACTTACCTGAAACTCATCACTTATGAGTCTCAAAAGCTACCTGGACTCCCCGCCTATGGCCTTGCCTCATGCCTCAAGCTTCCATGCCTATGAAAGGGTGAAGGGCTCAAAGTGCAAGCACAGTAGTACACGTGCAGTGAACAACAGAGGATGGACATGCACTAGACCATGATCAAGATCAATCTTGGTCCCACTGACATTTGGGCAGCCAATTTTCTGTTGTGAGGGGCTGTCCTGGGTGTTGTAGGATGTTTAGTGACATTCCTGGCCTCAACCCACTAGATGCCAGTAGCATATCCTCGAAAATGTTTCCAGACACTGCCAAATGTCCCGGGAGGGGGCAAATCTCCCCAGGTTGCCCACACTAGATAGAGTTTCAGTTCTGAACATGTCACAAGACTCCTTGTAAGCACAGGCTGGGAGATGTGAAATCCCGAACTTCCATCAACCTAAGGGGAACTGAACAGCCCCTGCATCTAGTCTCTGAGAGCGCTTCTCAGGGGAGATGTCTGGGACCGGGAAACCCTCCCAAAAGTCTGTGTTTTCTGCAACACAGTTCTTAGAAATGCAAAGCCAAGTGCCACTTCTGACAAAGCCACACAAACTCTAGCGCACAGACCAGACTGTCTGCTGTGGGCTCAGTAATTAAAACCTTGGATTTCACTTAAACTTCAAGGCAAAAATCAAAAAAAGAGCCAAAGGCTAGAAATGAAATGAATTCTCTCTGTTCCATTCCCCAGTGCCTCACAAACTCACTATCTTGAAAATAACAAATTTGAGGTCAGGAGAAGACATTAGGCCTAAGTTATTCTAAGCTATTCTTCTTTCTGAGTCTTAGTTTCCTTACCTGCAAGATAAGAGCAGTTAATTTCTAGGGTCCTAAAATACTTTTAAAGTTTTTAGGAAGGCATTTCTTTGAGTCTGCAAGACCAATGGACTAATTTTTTTACAACATCCAAATACAATCATAATTTTTAATAAAAAATACTTAAAACACTGCTTTTAGAGCTCAGTTTACAAATGACATGGATAAAAACAAATGATTTTGATCTTTTTAGGACTTAGATACAGTTTATTAAATGAAAAACACCATGATCTTCATCTGTAAAACCATCAGAGACAAAAAGTGATAGCTTCAGGGCTGTTGTACTTACAAACATCTGAACACTAACAAAACTCTCTTATAAAACAAAAATACTTCCTACTTTTAAAAATGAGATTTTCAAGTATATTCAGTTTTGCTTTAACCTTCTTAATAAAGTCTATGCCAGAAAATTCAGCTAAAAAGTAACCTCAAAGCCTCCTCAGTTTAAGAATACAAATGAAAGGAAACTCTTACTTGGGAATCCCACATAAGAAGTGAATTCACTGCCACTAATAAATCACCCTCATACTCCTTACATCACACTGTCAGTAACATACTCTGATTTAAGTCACTTGTTCATAGCAGCAACTTTCAGCTGAGGCTGAACTACTATCTGGGAGATATCCACACGTTGATTAGCTGTTCACTGAAAATAACTTAACTTTCAATGAACATCGTATGTAGTACATTAGTCTTCATCTAGGGTTCTATGCACTTTCATGTATTCTATCTTTGGCTATTTTTGGTACTGCACAGTGGTTTTTAAAATTAGTTACTAATAATTAAAGATACCAAGATTGAAATAAAATGCTTTACTGTGGCTTTCTGAAAAACCAAAAGATGTGGCAACACTGAGCTAGCAATTCTACCTGGCAACAGCAGCTGAGCTGAGCAGCAGCCACTGCTGTCACCAGGCACCAGGTTCCAGTCTGCTACAGACCCCAGCATTCCCTACTGCTCTACTTCTAGGCCTCTTCTGCCACCATGTCCACCTGCCTGGCTCCTGTAGACATCTCATTCCAAATCTTTAACTTCTGCTCTGGCTACAAAGTAAGAGGATCTAGACTTACGCTCTCACCATCATTCTAAGAAAAATAGACAAAACAGATAAAGGACAACACACAGAAAAAAAAAAAAAAAAAAAAAAAAGGACAACACACAGGGCAGGCTCGTGATACCTGACAAAAGGGAAATGTGCAAAGTGAGCCCCACAACTCAGCTTTCTGCCTGAAAGCAGTATCTGGATTGTGCACAGAAAAGGGAACCCATAGTTGGGCATTGTGGTGGGCATCTGTAGCCCCAGCTACTCGGGAGGCTGAGGCAAGAGAATCGCCTAAGCCCAAGAGCTGGAGGTTGCTGTGAGCTGTGATGCTACAGCACTCTACCAAGGGTGACAAAGTAAAACTCTGTCTCAGGAAAAAAAAAAACAAAAAGAAAGAAAAGAAAGGGGAACCCAAACAGAGTCCTGCCATCTTGCTAAAGTAACAGACTGACTAGAGCTGGGGAAGACCAAGGGGACCAGAGTGTATAGGACAGTCTCCAGAATGAGATAAAGATAAAAGAGAACCAAACTCAGCAGGCACTCCCTGAGTCACCCATCCAAAATGCATACATTTCTTTTTCATATGTCACGCCTTAACATGAAAAGTTTACCAACAAATTAAAATCAAGACATAACAACCTGAATTTCAGAACACCAGAGATAAAGAGATGATCACAAAGAAGGAGGGACTAAAAATAACATCAGACTCCTCCAAATAACACTAGCACCTAGAAGGTCATGGAATGCCTCCAGAATGCCAAGGCAAAATGATTTCACTTTGGATTTTCTAACTGGCCAAAAGATGAGTCAAGAGTGAATGCAAAAATAAAGATATCCACAGATACCCTGACTCTCAAAAAATTAATATTGCACACATAATTTCTCAGGAAGTTACTAGAGGATGTGCTCCTCTAAAATAAGAGAGTAGAAAATGAGGAAGACAGTAGGGAATCCAACAAGGGGAGGTGGCGGGAACCCCGAGGACGGCAGCTGTGTGGGGCAAAGAAAGTCATGATTCCAGATCAGAGCAGGAGGGAGGGTGCCAGGAGCTAAAACCCCAAGTATCGGCATAGGAAGTCATCCAGTATCCAAAACAGATGAATGAAGAAGCAGCTGTGAATACTCGTGACCCAGAAATAGAAAAGCAAACTCCAGAAGGAATAGTAAAAAAAGCTGGAAATAATTGTTTTAGGGCACGAGGAGTGCCCACATAGGGCAAATGCAGGGATGAGGCATTTTTCGCATGACCCCTCTGTACCACTGGACTATTTCAATCAGATGTATGTGCTCCATAGTAAACACACAAATACATTAACTAGTATGCCCATGGTCACTCCAGAAAGCTGTGCCCCTGACTTTAGTCACACTGGCCCCATGAAATAGCCTCCTTATAGACAAGCTTCAGGCTGATGTGATCAGCCACCATGGAGTCATGCTGAGAATTCCTTGATAAAGTGACTGCATCTTTGTGAGGAGTTGTTTAGGGAGACTGTTCCTTAATAAGAGCTCTCTGTCTAAGGCCCTCTGAGAGCAATGTCTGAATGCTCCTCATTCTGAGGTTACCAGGGCAGCTTCTGACTAATTGGATTCTCTGTACCTTATGTGCAGTGTGAACTGTGTCCAGGTCAGTGGTCTACCCACAGGAGGCATCAGGTCTTCAAAACCTGTGCTTTTTTTTTCTTAATTCTACTTTATCTAACCCCCATCCCAAACCCTTGTTCATCTTTCATTCTACTTTAAATTTATACTGTCCTATGATTTATGCATCCCCATAAGCCACAGCTTTATTCTTCCTGGGAAATGGCCAGGGAGTGGGTGAAAGGATGGACAGATGAACAGACAGATGGAGAAACAGACAGGTGATGGCTGGGGAAACTGGCAACTTACTTTTTGCCTTTTCTGTACTGTTGGACTTTTAAAAATATGTTCATTTGTTACATATAATTAAAGATAAATTTTAAGAGTAACTCTGTAAGTTAAATTTTAAGAGTAACTCTACAAGTACAACAGTTCTCTGGAAACAAAATATCTCATATTGACCCAACATTGCCCTTTGCTGGCTCTATTCAAAGGTCTTTCCTGGTATTAATTAATTAATCTTCTTAGTAACCATATTTGGTACTATCATTATTTCTACTTAACAAATGAGGAAACGGAGGCACAAAGAGGTTAATAACATCTCCAAGGCTACAGAGCTGGTAAGTGGTACAGCAGGGATTCCAACTCAAGTTGCTTCAAAACCCACCTCTTTACCAATACTCTAGCTGACACTGGTACTATGTAGTGATAACAGTCCCCACTGAGATGCCAGAACTGTTCTCAACACTTCCACATGTTAACTCATCCAATCCACTCATTTATTCTATTAAAGAAATGATCAGTATTCAAATTTTGCAGATGCAGAAACTTCAGGTAAGGAGCCTGTCCAAGGTCACACAGATAAAAAGTGACCAAGCCAGGTTTTAAACACAAGGACATGTGTGCCAGAGTCCCTGCCACAATATAACCTGCCTCTATGTCATCCCTGGTGTCTTCTACTATGATGAAAAACAAGCCTTTCCTTAAAGTTAGGTATTTTATTCCCATCACGAGTATTGCCATTTTTAGAAGTGTTTGCTTAAATCTGTTAATTTATAAATAGTTAAACAGATAAGAAAACTTCATGATAGAAACTCTCTTTATATTTACCTGAACCACACCCATACAGGAATCCAGAAATATCGATCCTTTTGGTTCTTTAGAGATCTTTTCGTCTTTATAAAAATTCAAATTATAGGATCCATCACCAAGTTGAATCAGGTGGAAAAATCGTCTCTTAAACGACTGGGAAAAAAACATATACACAGCTATACTTTCAAAATGAAAAGAGTCGCAATCCCTTATCAGTAACCCACTTATGACTACACGCATACATAACAACCATTCTTGTTCTCCCCAAACAAACCCTGCTCTAGCTGAGGGACGGGTTTCAGCTCCCCATCACATCTAACAGTCCCTCTGCATTTCAGACTGAGGAAGCGGCTGCAATAACATCCAGAGGTCATTTTTCTCACCCATAGAACTGGAGTTTAGGTAACCACCCAAAAGCAATGCAGGGACATCCAATTTGGAATGCAGCACAGAAGGATGGAAACTTTGTCTAAACTCCCTGGGGTGTCTTGCTCACACAGAATAGGAACTATTTTCTGCCTTATGACGCTGAATGATTTTCCATCCTTGGGATTATGATAGTCACATTTCCCCTGATTTAATTTTCATCTTCCTGTTCATCCTTCCTCCCTTCCATTGTTTCTTTTCCCTTTATTATTAATCCTGATCTTTCTCTGGTCCTACCTCTCTCCTGAATAGCTTCTCAGACTGGTTTTGCCTTTCTCTTTGCAACTCTCTTCCAATTTAACAATTTTCCTTTTTAGTCCTCAGTTTTTGCTTTACTTGACTTGGCCACAGTACACCTCCATAAAAGTGCTTGGTTTAGCAAGACAAATAGCCCCTCCATGCTGTTCTGTAAGGTACTAAGGAGCATTTTTCAGTTCAGACTGAGAAGGGCCCGTGTCAGTGATGCACCTACACACCAGCCCAGCGACAGCCTCTCCCTGCTGGTGGTCAGAGGTTGCTGAGGGGAAGGGGGTGGACAGGGCTGTACCAATGGGGGTGCTACCATCAGAGAAGTATCCTAGTAACCAGATAATGTCCCTTTTGTCAGGCACAACAGCACACCCATTCATGTTGGGCATTGTTTTCAAGACCTATTGCAGAAAGGCTTTCAGAGGAAGGGAAAGCACGGCCCAGGCCTCCTCACCCTCATGGTCACGCTGATGGCAGTGTTCATGTTGCCTTTGTACAGCCACCCGTGCTTGGTGATCCCACCCTTCTGAGATCCAAGGGAGGCGGCATCCTGGCAGAAAAGGAAAATAAAACACCACATTAAATCTGCTCTTACCGCCTAGGGGACTTGCTGGGAGTTTGATCAGTGAGAAAATCACTCCCTTTCTACCAAACTGTCTGCTGCCCCTTTCCTAGAGAAACCACTGACACTAATGCTTTACAAGTCACACTGGGGTCCACTTTGCAGTAAAAGAGCAAGACCAGCCTAAATTCCTGAAAACCTTACTCCATTAAAGGCAAACAACACTCCAGTCCAAAGCTTTAAGTGTTTAATGAACCACAGAAAGTACATACCACTCTTGACCACTCAAGTTGGACGGTCTTGCCTGGTTTCACAAAAATGTTTTCAAATTACACTCCCCTATAGTTGGAGGACAAAAGAAAATTCCTGGAAAACTTCCCAGAGGTTCAGTTCAGGGAAAGGTGAATAAAGAAAGAGAGGAAATGTGAGGCAATACAGAAAGGAGAGATAAAATGATGGGGCAAAGGAACAGGAGAAAGAGAGGTAAGAATGTGAGCAGGAATGGAGGGGAAGCAGGGAGTTAGAAAAATGAAGAGAAAAGTTAGAGAAGCAAAGAAACATAAGTTCAAACCCCACAAAACGAGATCTGGGTCTAAGGATGTGGTCATGGAGCTGCAATTACTACTAAAAATGTTAGGCATATATTTGCACATACATACAATAAACAGATAAAACAGATGCACAAACAATGCTGCAAATTTTCTATAATCAAATATGCAACTGCAAAAAGACCCATCCTATGCTTTGTTTTTGGACCATCTCAATATTAATTTTAGTAGTTTTATTGTTGTTGTCATTAACAGTTATTGAAATAATTTCCCTGTCTATGAGTTTATAATGTACTATATGCCATTCTGTGCATTATTTCAATTCATCCTCTTGTCACTATTAATCCAAATTGGCACCAAGTTCTCAAGACATTGTTTATTTTGAATGACCATCTGCTTTTCTCAGAATTATTTTAAAAGTGGTTTCTAAAACAATTTGCTTTGTGGACATTGTTAAAATTAGCAAGTAGCTGGTGTTATGGCTCAACTGAAAATTTGGGGGGAAAAATGGAAAAACCTAAACTCTCAATGGGGCATCCAACATCCAGTGGGAAGAAAGAAAAATACAGAGAGACAGGAGCACGGCCTTTTTATTATGCTTCCCTTGTTCACCTGACAAACTCACCTGAACACCCTACTCTCTTTATATGCTCCTCTAGGCATAATCTTTTCTCTAGGAGTAGAAAGAGGGGGCTTGATAAAACCAGATTTCATTAAAAGCAATCACTGAAGAAACAGCCATTTAAAATCTACTAGCTGGCAGTTTGTTTTAAGATATCCTGTTGAATAAGAACCTAAATTTGAGGTCTAAGTAATCTTGATATCTTTTAACAATGTAGCCAAATCTGATCCAAGTCTTTAAAAATGATCCCAGAACAAATAAACACAGCCATAAGAACATGAAATGCTAATAAGCAGTCAAGTTGGAACAGAGACTTTATTTCAATCAATCACATAATACAAATATCTGGGTAAATATTAGTAATTTTCTAACTCATCTTCTAAGTCTGTAACAAACAATGTTTAGGTCTAAAGTGAGAAGAGATGCAATGGCAAGCAGGAACCCACCTCATCTTTGTCAGCCTCCTCGTCAACTTCATAGACATGAACTGGAAGTTTATCCAACTTGGGCACTTTGCTTTAAAAACAAGGAAAAAAACTTGTTTTATAACTGCCTAGTCAGTGCAGAAGCTCTGCATTTCTTCCTCCATCAGAAGATCCAGACTAAACCTAAAGCTGGCCCACTCAGATAAAGAATAAAATAATCTACGCCCTTGCTGCCCAAAGTGGGTAAGCCAAGAAACCTGAGTTAGAAAGCTCCAAAAAGCTATGTGGAAGAGACAGCATAGCTTGTTGGGAGTTAGTAGATATATTAAAAATAAGGAAGTGGATTAGTTATTAATAAATAAAGACTTGATAGAAGTCTCTGTTTATGAGACAAAAAAGAATCTGAAGTCACTGCATTAAAAGTGATTGACAATGATGGTTTTAACCACAACAAAAACAAGGCACCAGTAACAACAGCAGCCAACTTTATTAAATTCTTATAATGTGCCAGGCCCTGTGCTATGTACTTTACATGTGTTTTCTCATTTAATCCTTTAGATGGTGGAGACTGCTGTTAAGGCCATTTATCCCAAGTGGTCCCCAACCTTTTTGGCACTAGGGACTAGTTTCATAAAAGACAATTTTTCATGGACAGGATTAGTAGTAGTGGTCGGGAGGGTTGATCTGAATTTGCAAGTAACAGATTTGTTATGGTCTCCATGCAGTCAAACTGCTCTGCTAATAATAACCTGTATTTGTAGCCAATCCCCAATGCTAGCATCATCACCTTGGCTCCACCTCAGATCATCAGGCACTAGATTCTCACAAGGAGCTTGCACCCTGAGTTTACCGCAGGGTTTGCACTCCTATGGGAACCTAGTGCTCCTGCCAATGCTGCCAGGAGGCAGAGCTCAGGCAGTGATGCTAGCGATGGGAAGCAGCTGTAAATACAGGGGAAGCTTTGCTTACTCACCTCCTGCTGTGTGGGCTGGGGGGAGGGTGCTGGGGACCACAGATTTAACAGATAAGGACACTGAGGCTTACAGAGGGCAGAGCTGACCTAGGCAGAACACAGAATCTATGTCCTTCCCATCTGTTAACAATTCTCTCTCCCTTTCTCATCACACATTTGGAATTTCTTATAAATGCCACAAAGTGAAACCTACCAGCAGTCTACTATCTAGTAAGTACACAATAACCCTCACTGTCTGTTAGCTTTCGACCACGAGAATATGAACAAGATGATCAATAAATATGGGTTCAGTCAATGACACAGGAAGAATTTCAAAATCCCCAAATGAGGACTGGGTAAATACAGAACTAAGGAGCATACCCATATGGAGAAGATAATTCTAGGAGGGAGTGTTCTCGGCTGAGGTTTAAAATGCAGCAATTGGGGAGTTGGCTGAACACTCCTAAGGAGTGGCAGAGCCACACAAAGAGGAAAAACAAATAAGCTAGGTCCCCTGAGAACAGTACAAAGGCTCAAACTCACAGATGCAACACCAAGAAAAATATATTAATGAGGTCTCAAGCAATATTTTCATTGGTGATAGTTACTTTTAAAACACAATACAAATTTCATAACCAACTAGACTTCAATTTGCCAGCTGCAATGGCTTGGATACAATTTATTTATCCCAACCAAAACTCATTGAATTTGATCCTAATGTGGTGGTGCTGAGGCTAGTGGAGATGTCTGGGTCTCAGATTCTTCCCGAAGGCCTGGTGCTCTATTCACAGTAGTGAATGAGTTCTTGCTCTCATGACAGTACTTGTTCTCCTGGGAATGGATTAGCTCCTAAGAGTGAGTTGTTATAAGGCAAGGTCCCTCCTCCTCCATGCCCATTTCTCTTTTGACCTTCTCCACCATGTTTTGACTCAGCACAAAAGCCCTCCTCAGAAGCTGAGCAGATGCCAGCTAGATGCTTCTTTTATAGCATCCTGAACTATGAGCTAACTAATCCTCTTTTCTTTATAAGCTACTCAGTCTCAGGTATTCTGTAAAAGCAACACAAAATGGACTAAGATACCACCTGCACCATTACAGGATGTACTATTTTATTACAGGCCCTACAAACCCCTGATTCACTCTAACTACCACAAATCAGCCTAAACACATTTAGTTTGGGGATATACTACAATGAATTAATATTTCAAAGGAGATAAAGAAATTTAACTTGGAAAATACTTATTTCTTGACTTACTATTTTTTAACTTAAATGTACCCAATTTACTGAAGCATATTTCAGTCTACTTAGGTGTTCTTTGTTTCATACTTCTCAGTGAAAAAATATTCATCTATTTATGTTTTATTGGTGGTAGCCTAAAAAGAATCACTGGCCATAATCAAACCATCCAAGTGTTTATTACCACCACCAATGCCAGAATACTAAATTTGAGTCCCACAGTAAAGACCCTGTAAACAACAGCCACACCATATACACACAAACCATCTAGAAACATCTTCTCCAATTACTCGGACTGCATATGAAGTTACATTCCTCTCTGAGCACTTCAAGTACAAAGACTCTTCCTTATGTGCATAACTCCATCTTGTGTGGTCTTACAGTTACTTACTTTGGAAGCTGTCGAAACTCTCCTGAGTAATCTTCATATTTATAGTTCACAAGATGCCAGTCAGAGTTGTAGGTTTTGATGCACTATGGGGAAGAGAAGAGGGATTTAAAAACTTTAAAAAAACAGAAGAATACGTGATGCCTTTTAGAAAATATCTGGGAAGGTCTGGGAAGGCACACCCATACGAACTTAAAACAAACAAACAAACAAAACACTTTCCCATCTAATGCCTGAAATTCCGCTCCCACCCACCCCTCTACTCCTATTAGGCTTAAGACCAGGCATCCTCAAACTTGGCCTATGGGCCACATGCGGCCTGCCTAGGACGTTTATCCAGCCCGCTGGGTGTTTTTGCCACTGCTGCCTGTCCTGCTTAGCAGCCGATTCGTCCTGGGGCCCGCAGTCTGGCCCTCCAATGGTCTGAGGGACAGTGAACTGGCCCCTTGTTTAAAAAGTTTGAGGATCCCTGCTTAAGACTTTGAACCCCTGAAACATTATCCTTGGGAGCAGTATCACTTTAAGTCATCATCCCAAATCATGGAGACAAATTTCACCCAACCTTGTTACATTTATATATTGTTTCAACCTAAGCACTTGGTTCTTAAACTAGGACATGAACGTGATTAGAAAGTATGAACCTAAAGACATTTTCAGACACTAAAATTAGAACTCCCTCAGTTAGTATAATAAATTTGCCCTCAGTTTTTCTTTCTATTCATAAGGAACAGAATAAGGTCATTAGGAGGAAAGATTCATCTCTGGGTGTGTAGAGAATACTTGTACATAATGTTTGCAGCACTACACTGTCAAAGACTCTATCAGTGACATTAACCTTCACAGACAGCATTTAAACTACCTCACTACCTGATAGTGTAGTAGATGTGCCAGCATGGTGTCTCTCATTTATCTAACCATGAGAGAGCTACCCATCTATCCACTGTGATTTCTTTTACTTTTAAATATTTAAACATTATAATCATCTTCCTTCCCTATTTTGCCTAAGGTATTAAAGTCTGGACACTCAGATGTTCCATTCATAAATGTATTCATCATACACAAGTTTATGCTTATAGACCCATGAGAATCCAGCCAGTAGTGTGTAGATCCTTAAGATTATAATGCCACATCTGCCAGATCTTCAAATATGAATGAGTCAAAACCAACAGGTGAAGAGTTTTAGTTATCAGCATAGTTCAAATGAGTCGATTCTTGACTGTGCATATGTAGATTTCAGTATGGAAAAAAAATGAAAACACAGGTAGATAAATATATATATTTATGCCTTATCTAGTTTATTTGATTCTGGCTGCAATTAATATCATGAGCAAAGTCTCTATTCTCTTATTTCACTTCATAGTTTGTACTGTCATCCTTTTGTCTACATCACAGCCTATGCCTGAAGGGCTTCTGGAGCAAACTCCTCTTTATCCTCAAACTTATGAAAACACTAACAGCAACAACAGTGAGTGCTTATTTTGTGCCAGGCTCTGTGATAAGGATTCCTCACCAGCAAGGGTGTGAAGGAAAGGCAGTCTAAGTTTTTTGCCTGGTCATTCTCAGAAGTGGGATAAATAGTGGAGTTTAGAGCAGATTCAGATGTGGAAGCTAACGAATCAATCTTTCAATTTTTTTTACTATGCTGTTACAAATATTTTGAAATGCAATTCTATTCTTGAAAATACTTTAAATTTCTCAAAACATTTTCACATTTAGAACATCAGACATTCGTATTCCAAATTGCATTCCATAAACAATAGGATTTCAGAATTATCCAAAGTTTCAGTATCCCACTTGCGCCCCTAGGTCACCAACACAGTAAAGTCAAGCCTGAAATACGCATGACACAGTCTAGTGGATGCCCTTCTAGGCTCTTCATATAGGCATGGTGGTTTTCCACTGCACTGCAATTAAAGTTGTGGCTCAGCGCCTGTGGCTCAAGCGGCTAAGGCGCCAGCCACATACACCTAAGGTGGCGGGTTCAAATCCCCAGCCTGGGCCCGCCAAACAACAATGATGGCTGCAACCAAAAAATGGCCAGGTGTTGTGGTGGGCACCTGTGGTCCCAGCTACTTGGGAGGCTGAGGCAGGAGACTTGCTTGAGCCCAGGAGTTGGAGGTTGCTGTGAGCGTGATGCCATGGCACTCTACCCAGGGGGACAGCTTGAGGCTCCGTCTCAAAAAAAAAAAAAAAGTTGTACCAAGTCTCTTGTGGAACATTAAGGCCATTCTGAAGTATAAAATATACCTATCCAATTAAAAACTAAATAAATAAGTGTAAACTTGTATATATCATAAATGCATTTTATAAATAGAACACAAGCACCCAGATTTTATAATAATCTTAGACAAATGCATAAGAAAGATGATGGTAATGTTTAAATATTTAAAAGGATAAGGAATCAAATCTCTAAAAACCATAACCAACCAAGTTAAGTATCTAGAGATTAATTTACTTAGCAAGCCACTGCTGCCTGTCAACTTAGCACGTGTGGCTAACCTCCAAGGCAGAAGCATGGAATAAGGTAAGCAAACCTCTGAGGATGTAAGTCTGGGTGATAATGCGGTTCCACCAGAAATCCATATTCAGAGAACAGCACTTCCAGAAAGACAGAAATATGACTGATCATGTGATTAACCTTTCAAGCTTATGAAATTCAGTTAATATTTTGAAATTACACTGGAAGGTTTTTGAAGTTGTTTTTTTAAACCCATTAGGTCATTCTCTTGGATCAGAGGATGGGGAGGAAGCGATGTTCACTCCACCCATGTGGAGGGGTCCCAAAGCACTTAGTTATGTTGGCTCCAGCAGCAGGAGAAGAGTTATTGTTCAATCTGCAGTGATTAAAAAACCTAATCAAGAAAAATCCCTCAAAAGCCATATTTTCTTAATTAGGGGATCCAAATTAGTAATTAATAATTTTGCCACATGCTTTAAACCAATGATCAATAAACTTTTGGTGCAAAAGGCCAGATAGCAAATATTTTCTTTTCTTTTTTTTTTTTAACACATATATGTGTTTATTAGGTTTCCACTTTCTGCCTTCACAAAATTAAAAAGGCTTAAAATTTAATAACAATAACAATGTTTAAGATGAGGACTAGAAACAAAAACCTCGTAAAGAACAAACAAAGATAAATACATTCAGAAAAGAAATCAGATGATTGCTGCAATGAAATATTGAGTAATAATAATAATGCAAAAAGAGTAACATTCACATTGTCATATTAAAGTATGTCTATCATAGAATGCTTTGACTCTTGAGGTTTAGTATGGAGTCATTAGTTAACTTTTTTTCCCTCCAAAGTCTCAAAAAATAGACAACTAATATTTATAAATAAAAATAGAAGATAATTTCAAAAAAAAAAGAACAGATCATGCCAAATCTTCTAGACAACAGAAAAAGAAGGAATACTTCAAAATCATTCTACTTTCTCTGGATATACCTGATATTAAAATTGGAAAAAATATATTATTATAAAGGGAAATTACAAACATATTTCACTTATAAATGAGGATGCACTATCCTAAACAACGTATTAACTAGTTGAATTAAAAATAATTGTTCAAATAATGTACTTTGGTCAAAATTAAATTCAATTTATGTGAGAATTAGTCACTATTTTCTTTTCCCTCACCCCCTCCCTCCTTCTCTCTCTGTCTGTTCTCCCCTTCCCCAACCCCCACTGTGTCATTAACTGTCCTCATAGGATTCATGTTTCTCCATTCCTGTGATGCTTCACTAAGAATAGTATTCCATGGTATACATATACCACAGCTTGCCAATCCATTTCTGGGTTGAGGTTTTTTTTTTTTTTTTTTTTTTTGAGATATATATCTCCCTCAGTAGAGTCCTGTGGCATCACAGCTCACAGCAACCTCAAATTCCTGGGCAAAGTGATTCTCTTGCCTCAGCCTCCCAAGTAGCTGGGACTATAGGCGCCTGCCACAACGCCCAGCTAGACATGTTCAGTCTTGAAGGCCAATTGTTTAGTGATAGTAGCCATAGGAAATACAGAGTGGACATAAAGTTTGAGTGCAATTTAAAATAGTTTAACACAGTAAATTTCACAAAAACTTTATGTCCACCCTGTATATAAACAAGTGGACATGCCTGCATTCCAATAAAACTTTATTTACAAATAGGCTGCAGGCCAGATTTCTGCCTACAGGTCATATATAGTTTGCCACCTCTTGCTTTAATACACTTATGACCACCACTTATATAAACATACCTGGCTGTAGCATTTTTGGAATTACTTTACTAGTATAGTATAGTAGAGCCTCCAAAGTTGACTTCCTCCCTACACTGACCGCCTACTTAAATTGATCTAATTTTCTTTTTATTGTTGGGGATTCATTGGGGGTACAAGAAACCAGATTATACTGATTGCATTTGTTAGATAAAGTCCCTCTAACAATTGTGCCTTGCCCCCAAAAGGTGTATCATATACCAAGACCCCACCTTCTTCCCTCTGTCTGCTCTCCCCTTCCCCCACCCCTCACTGTGTCATTAATTGAAATTAACCTAATTTTCATAGATAGGACATGTACCACATGTATGTATCAGTATAGTTGGCCTAGTTCCTTATGCTTGCCACCTCTGTATGCTGACCAGTTTGTTACAGAGTTTCTACTGTATTTACTAGTATTTTACAAAGGAGATAAGACAAGTGGTTACCTTTTCAGAAAGATGAGAAAACATATTTTAGAAATTTTAAATATATATTTAATTTTTCAAAAATTTCAACAAAACTAAATATTGGTATTTAGTTGGCCTTCACAGCTTCCTTGTAGTGGGCAATTTTACTAATGGACATATTTAATATCTAAATATCAACTAGAAAAATGAGGATAAAAACCTGTTATTTTTAAATGAAGGAACACATCAAAAAACAGAATGAAAACACCAAATTAGCTCATCCTACCTAAAAATACTGGGAGGAAGAAATAAATACCCAACAACAACAAAAAGCAAGTAACCTAAACTGCAAAATTTCTCTTTTCTCCCTAACGAGATGCTATTTGTGTGTTCAAACAAAAGTAATGACAATGAATGTATATTGGTTAGGGATCTATATAATAGTATGTGTATGTGTATATATATATATATTTTTTTTTTCTATATTTCCATCAGGGATAGACTATAATCGCCTCGTAGTTCGTAAGTATTAAAACAGTCTTAAAAATAACTTACAAATAGAAACATATAAATGAAGTAAATGAATGCATTAACTGTGTGTGCTGAGTCACCCTTAAAAACAGTATCAGTAACAAAGCCTCCTACAGAGATTTCCAGCAAATTCATTTACAAGTTACAGTTTATTTTAAGCCAAGGAGATTATACTTTGTAGAATTCATTTTCTATAGTCAGAAATGACTCCTGTGGACATTTCTGTCCAAGTTTCAGACTCCAGAAACTTCATGTTATTCTCCTATTTAACTTCTATCATTAAAAATACAGTTACTTCTTTGACACTTTCTTGGAATTTCTGAAATTTAAGAAAAAGAGGGAGTTAGAGGAAAATGACTTTAAATTATAAACTAATGCAGGAGAAAGTCTTACTTACCTCTGTAACAAATAAGCTCTGTGCTTCCTCTTCTGCCTTCCCAGGAACTGTTGAGCATATGTACCGGCCCTGACGTCTCAGGATGGCGGTCTGGGAAGAAAAGCATGAGGAAGACTTCAGAAAAGCATGAAGAAAGCAGTCACCTGCACACCCAGCAGCAGGACCCCTAAGCCACACAGCCCCTCCAATTCCTTCCAGCTGATGACACACAACAGATTCCACCTGGCACCCTAAAGTCCCAAAGCCAAGCTGAATAACTGCTCCCCCTTCTTTCTGGATCAGGGGCCCAATGATCTTTCTGAGGCAAGGGGTGGCCCCTTTCACAGCCCCACAACCCCACTATAGCAGGAATAACAAGATACACAAAAGGTCCTCACTCAGTAATTGTTAAATGAACCTATGAACCTCAAATGCTACCTTCCTGCCTGTGAACACAACAGCTGTTTCATCAAGCTTAAATGCTTATTTGAAATAAAATGACTTAGGCAGTAGCACACCTACCTCAATATATAGACTTCAGGTTTCAGAAAACAATGGTCTAGGTTTTTTTTTCTCCCACAGACCATCATCCTTGGATGATGGATCACAATCATAAAGTAGCACACATGAAAACATTTTGCTAACAGTACCTGTTGCTCTCTGTGGCTAATTACTAAGTGGGGATCTCACAGCACTGGTCCCAGTACTTTTTCTTGCACTTCTGGTTGGAGGCAGCCTTGAGTCAAATCTGTGATTCCCCTTCCCTCCAGGCCAGGGGGAGAACTATAGGACATGTATTTTGTGCATAACTTAATTTTATTTCCTGGCCTAATTTTCTCTCTCTTGTGTCCGCTTCACCTGAATTTGTTATTTTCTTCCATTATATCCATCTTTGAAAGTAATCTTAAAGCCTATTTTTAAAAAAAGGTCCCTTATTCTAAAGGTAGGGAAGGAAGGAACTCTGTTCACCAACGTTCTTGGAAGATGAATTACGCATTCACTCAGCCTCTGGAAGGGCTTTCAAGACCCTAGGGCTAGATTTTTTCATGAGTAAAACACATGAAAACACTTTAATACACACCTGCTCTCATGAAATGCTACAGATAGGTGACCCCATCAAGGAAGAAAAGCACCATATATTCAAAAAGCTACAAAGCCAATAAACTGATTATAGTTGACTATCAAAATTATTATGAATCAGGTATTTATCAATAGAGATTTTTAATAAAAATTTTAATGAAATTCTATATACTTAAAAAAACATACATTCTATGTGCCCATTTACTATGTCCTGATCTTGACTTATCTGGGTCTTTTTGAAATTAATTATAATAACTTTTAAAATATTCATGAAATAGCTTATTTATATGACACTTTTCCAAATAGCCCTCTGAAGTGAGAAAAATAAGACATGGATCTTTTGATTCTCGTGTATCAAAATATCTTTTGTTCTCATTTGAAAAAACAAGCAACTTTAAATCATTACAAAGCAATACCTGAGTTTTAACAGATAAGATACCATAATGTTTCTCATTTCAAAATTAAGTTTACACATTAATCATTGCTGATCAATTCCTAACTTAGATTTTGACAAAGCAGTTTTCTGACCAAAGCCCATTTTTATCCCTGACACTTCATCCAAATAAGCTAAATTAGACGTTTCTTTAGTATATATCCAGTTACATGGACATGTGTTTCTTGAACTATATAATTTTAGATCTGTTTTAGATAATCTCCAAAGGTGGCTGCCATCCTTCCTTATAAATGCATACTATTCCTTACACCAAAAGGTAGAATCGATTTCTCCTCCCCTTGCATTTGGGCTAGCTTTGACCAATAAAATGAGGTGGAAGGCGGGTGGTTCATCAGTTCCCAACCTAGCCTTTAGGAAAACTGGCTGCTTCCAATTCCTCCTTCTTGGAAGCCAACTGCCATATAAAAAGTTCTACTATCCTGAGGTGAGAGAGAGTACAATCTAGCCTTATGGAGAGGCCACACATACAGACAAAGAAGCTCTACAGTCCCCAAGTGTTCCCAGTCATCCCAGTTGAGATATACTGCAATATGAGTAAAACATACTCTTGGTCATTCCACCCCCACAGACTGCAAGGAAAACAGAAGACCCCCCCAGCTGAGCCTTGACCAGAGTTTAGAATTTTGAGAAATAATAAATTATTGTTTTAGTTTCCAGGGTTTGGGGATGATTTGTTACTCAACAACAGATAACTGAAAAAATATTGTAAGAAACTAGGAATAGCTCCAAATCAGAGTACTAAAGAACACCACCATCTTCATGAAAATGGATTTCAAATACTAGTTAAGGTTCAGAGCTAGGACAGAAGCAGTGAGAATATATACCATGCTGCAGTCTGGTTTCTACAATCACCCTTCTACTCAGTCAAAGCCCTGAAAGAGGTCAAATAAGATAAAGTAGAATCTCTTGGATCTTGAGAGTAGTGGTTAGTGTCTTCTTTTCATGAAAAACACTCTACTGATCTAATGTCTCAGTATAACTATTACTTCATCCATCCATCCATCTAAACCTTTACTGGGTCCCTACCTTCTACCAGACACTGAGCTAACAACTGGAGACACAAAGTTAATAAAATGTAGTTGGTGTTCTTATAAAGCTTATGGTCTGATGAAAAATAATGATGGAGAAACAAATTATTAGAGTGTGATTAAGTACTACAGAAAGTACAGAGAAAAGAACCAAGATATGCAGGCTGACTTGAGAGGAAAAAGTAGTGGAATCTAAATCCTACAGGTAAGATAGGAGGACACCAGGAAAAGGTACACTAAGGGAAAGATGCTTAAGATAAATTGTAAAGGATGAGCACAAGTTAGATTTAGGATAAAATGAACAAAATAAATAATAAATGAGATTAACTCTTTGCAAAAAAAATCCATTAAGTCCTAGAACTAAAAATACATCTCAGTCAAAGGAGAAATTACCTAGAACTCTGACCTTGAACTAACAACACTAAAACCCCACATCTGGCATAAGAATGGGTTAATAGAAAAAACAGGTGGGTGGATTGCCTGAGCTCACAGGTTCAAGACCAGCCTGAGCAAGAGTGAGACCCGGTCTCTAAAAATAGTCAGGTGTTGTGGTGGGCGCCTGTAGTCCCAGCTACTTGGGAGGCTTAGACAAGATAATTGCTTGAGCCCAAGAGTTGGAGACTGATGTGAGCTGTGATGCCACGGCCATGGGCGAGGGAGGGAGGGAGGGAGTCAGGCAGGCAGGCAGGCAGGGCTCTTACCACTAAAGTGATTTTGCCTCTATTACTATTTAAAAAGAAAGGCTGAAATCTATCAGGCTGGATCCAGGACTACTGGACATTGCAAGGTCTTCCCATTGACTGCCCCCCTGCTCTGAGTAGAGTCTCACCAAGCCACTGTGTTTACAAATGCTTTCCATTTAGACTTTCCTATTGGGAGAAAATGCACAAAATGCACAGCCAATCAAAGTATTAACAATCTGCTTGTTAATTCTAGTTCTCAGTGTACATTAATAAAACGGTGTTCTGGCTTGTTCTCTTGTAGAATTGGCTGCTATAAATCAGTTCTCCACAGCCTGAAATTCTCCGGTCATAATGACCAAATCCAGTCTGTGGACTAGCAAAGCTCAGATCTGTACCATGTTGACCTTAGAAGCTGCCCCCCAAGACTTGTCTGAATAGCCAGGGATTTCCCTGACTCCATGATCCAAAACTCTTTTGCAGGCAAATGCCTTTCTTTTCCCTACCAGATTATCAATTTCTCTGAAGACAGAAGACATATCTATTTGCATCTCTGTGCTAAGTACATAATAAATATTTCAAGAAAGAATGAATAAAACAGCCAATGGAAATGGAAATAAGAACTCACCAATAACCACCCATTACTTGCATGTTAAGTTTATTTCCCTATTATTACAAAAAGTTCTCCGGTCCATTTTAGAAACTGACAAAGGAAAACTACAGCATTAAGTGAAGGCTGTATTTTGATTTCACCATAGATTTTGTGTATTAAAAATCACATTCAGATTATAATCTACTTTGTGCCAGAACGATTCCCAGTAAATTTCTGTACTTTTATCTACCTTATAGCAGAGTCCAAGCCAACTACTAAAAGATTTATGCTCAAAGAGCAGTACTAAAAGCTCTGCTCAACAATGAGCTATATTTTGTTTTTCATGGCTGCAGAATTCTTTTCTACTTTTCTATCAGTTAAAATCATATTCTTTTTTCTTTTTGGCCTGGGCCAGGTTTGAATCCACCACCTCCAGCATATGGGGCTGGTGCCCTACTCCTTGAGCCACAGGCGCTGCCCCCTAAAATCATATTCTTGATAAAAGATGTGTTTGGCTCTCCTATATATAAGTTACCAATCAAAATAGGCATAGAAGGTATACGAGTGTTGATACAGGACAGGTGGTGCCCCAGCCAGCTAGAGGACCTGCTGCCTCAACCCTGGCTATGTTGGTGCCTTGGTGTCTCCTTCCCTTTGCACTTATGACTGAACCTCCATTTCCTATGCCTAGGTCAATTTCATGTAAGTTTCCTAGGCCTCAATTCCATGAATGGACTGTGTCCATTCATTAATACATTCATTCACCTTGCCCCAGCAGAAAGGACTGTATCCATTCATTTCCTAGCCTCCTATCCAAGGAACCCATGTGCCTATATATACTCCTAGGCAAAGAGCCCAGGGAGAGAGATGGGGAGAGAGACAGAGAGAGCTTTTCTCTCCCAACTTGGGTTTTCTCTCCCTAGCGAGAGCTTTGGTGTTTTTGTATTCTTTTCTGTAAATAAATCCTGTTTTACCACTGATCTGTGGTCCGCGGATTTATTCTTCAAATCACAGAGACCAAGAACCTACTGAAGACAAAACTCTGGTATCAGTGTCATTCCTATGTTTGAAAATAAAATTTCCATTCTGCTAAGACAGCTGTACATTTGAAAAGGGAAGGGGGAAAAAACGTTCATACCACGAAATGTGATATGGATCTGAAAATCAAACCTAGACACTGCTCACATCTCACTCAGACAACCACTGGGAGAGAAATTTCACAGCATGAAAAATAAAAACCCTCTCCTAGCTTTTAGGGTAGCATCTAATTTCTGTCA